GAAAAGAATGGTTTTGGGGAAGAAAAACCAGTTTTTTCCTAGGGAAAACTAAAGCGACCAAAAGAAACATTTTTGGAGAAACTATGCGGCCAGACTCTAAAAAGATGCTTCTTTTTTTTTTGTGGTTTCCCCAGGAAAAAATTGATTTGCGGTGGAAAACCATTGTTTTCATATGCAAAAATTGGCTTTGGGCTGAAAAACCAATTTTTTCCAGGCAAAAGATGGTTTTGGGTAGGAAAACCCAATTTTTCCTAGGAAAACCTCAATTTTTTTTGTGTTTTTCATAGGAAAAAGTTTGTTTTCCTGCCCAAAACCATCTTTTCCTTTCGGAAAAGTTAGTTTTTCTGCCAAAGACTATCTTTTTCCTAGGAAAAGTTGGTATTTCACTCCAAACCCAAGGTTTTCCTTGCAAGGAGTGTGCATTTCATGTGTTTCTGCGCGTTACGAATTGATTTGCCAATAAGGTTCCAGTATCATTGCTATTGGGATTCGATTTGGTGTCAATGGAGAGTTGGTTATCGCAGCTACCACTACGATGCCTTCTAGCGGACTGAGGTTGTAAATTAAATGAGAAAACATCGGGGTCAGAATGGGTGATACTAAGCCGACTATGGATGTTTATGTTGGTATCTAGTACAGGTTTAACATTAAGGTTACCATGCGTATATACACACATATATGTACATAAATGCATATGGGCAAGTTCGTCAGCAAATCTAGCATGACCATATCCTACAGAGAGAAAGTGGGTGCCATATACAATATGTTGAAGTAAGCAAACACATGCTGGTATCATCCCTAAAATCTAAGGGCTGTCATTTAGGGGAACGCCACAGCGAAGACAGCAAGGATCGTGGTCCTCAGTGGAATTCGTTTTCTGTAGTTCAATATTAGCATGAGTATGACGGCAACCATTGAAGCAAATGATTGGGCAGTATTTAGCTTACATGTATTAATATTAACAGTAACTAGTATAGGGGATGCCATGGCTTTTAACTTAGGGGACTTGAATGGGATCCCACAGCTAATCTGTTGATGAGGCCTATGGGGTCGGGGTTCTCCCAAGGCCATTAGTTGGGTTGCAGCTGAAGGAAGCATCCGGTACAGGGAAGGTCTCATGGGCAATTTTAAGTTGGCGAGTAACTTCCATCTTGGGGGACTGCGATATCCCTACTATCAGGGGGCCAGTCAGGCTGATGTATGTTATTGTATTCACCTTCAAGTCGGTATGGGAGTTGATATGGGGATGTATACATAATGGGGTTAGCGACATAACATTTTAATCCATACGAACTGAGATGTGAACCCATAAGGCATCTTTTTGGGTGAACATGAACGAGAAGACTACTGTCACCATTGGGGCCAATGTAAGGTCTAATGGCAGGGTTAGTCTTAGGAATATTGTTGTTTAGGCTTTGAAGTCAGTCAATGCTCACGGTCATTCATACGTAGTGCTGGGGCCTTGATCTGAGACTACAGCGGAGGCTATCTTTGGAGTTTTTGCTCGGGCCTCTATTGAGCTTCGGGTATTCAGACAGAAATGACTCTCATCGTTGTCGAAGTCATCTCTCAGAGTATCGTGTGACGGGTCGCAAGAATTGAGAATGAAAGCGGCTGCCGATATACTTTTGCTGTCCCCTGGGAGCTTCAAAACCTAATGCTAAGCCGGGGTCATACGCCAGAAGCCTAAACCTAGGAGGATTGGTGGAGCTATCGCGGCACCTCGCGGTAGTTCTTGGGGGGGTTAGCATATAATATATATATATATACACATGTATATGTATACATGTGTGTATATATATATATATGTGTGTGTGTGGGTGTGCACCCCTTGGCACGTGCATGTGCAGGTGCGTGCGCATACGATACAAGACGAGACAATCCAATACTGTGCAGTGCGATACAATATTCTACAATACAACACAATCATTCGTGAATCGCTCATCCTTAAGGCTACTGCAATCGCTCGGCACTGTTTTCCTTCTGCCTCGCCATGAGTCCCTCTGCATAACCTGTGCTTATCTCACAGGAAGTGCTTTGGTAGAACATTCGGATAGACCTGACACCGGGGGCAACAGGTAACCCCTGTCCTTGGAGGTTTCGAACCACACCGGTTCGTACCCCCCCCGAAAGCAGTCGCGAAAACTCGCGCGGAAAAACCTCCCGCGAAAGGGGATGGGAGGGTGGGCAACAAAGTACCTGCCGTTGCCAAGGCTTGAACCAAAACAGGCAGGACGGACGATCACAAATGAAACATGTGCACCCAAGCCTGCCAAACTCTACACATGAATACATACATACATACCTACATACATACATGCATGCATACATACATGCATGTAGATGTATGGGGAAGATGCCCGACAGGCGTTGCTGCATCCCTTCCCCCAAGCATCTGCGAAAAGCTCCGATAGGTATGCGGATACATACATAATTACGTGTATGAGCATATCTGTGTACGTGCATGTGTTTATGTACGTGGAGTGTGTATACACCGTATGTATACGTGTCTATACACTTTGTAGATATATATATATATATACACAGACAGAGTAGTATACAGATATACCTTTAAGATGCATGCGGTGCTGCTGCGAATCCTCGTCGTCGAAGTCGTGGTATGTGGTGGCGTTGGCTGGCAGGCTCACCTGCAATGCATCAAAGGGAAGTTTGCGGTAGGCTTCAGCCTTCAGGTTTGACAGAGAAAAAAGACATTCGAACTCAAGGGACTTTAGGGACTATAGGAGACGACGTTCGTCAGACTTGCGTGTTTGCCAGATTTGCTCCCCACGCCTTAGATGCTTGGCTGCGGGACCTGACAGCGGGGTGAGGCAGCGGGGCATGCATGTTCCTGCTCCGGCAGCCAACCCAGGACCAGGCCCGTTCATTTGCGGCTCATCGTCGTCCTCAGCGAGTAGCCGGTACCCAGAGCACAAAAGGGTTACAAGGTCTGAGGCCCGAGCAGAGTAGCCCTCCTGGTCTTCCAAGGCGGCGAGCCGTCCTGGCGGATTCGACCACAGGCAGGTATGGTCTCAGGTCAGCGGGCCCCGGTCCTTCATCCTCTTCCCTTAGTGCGACTGATGATGTGCCAAGGGCACTGATGCTTTGTTACTGTGCTTCAATGAGACGCCGGCTGCGGCTGTGACGTTCCAGCGAGGCTTCGAATGCTGTCCTGCGCCACCCGACACACTGTGCAGCAAGTGAGTGCTTGAGCAAGAGAGCGAGATTGCGCGGAAGTGAGGCCAAGACAACTGACCAATTCGTCAACTACTCCGGGCTAGGTCATGAAACCTCAAACTACACCGGGTAATGCCTGCCCCAAGCCTGTCGAAGCTCCCTTGGCAAATGGCAGGAAAGCTGTAAACAAAAAGCGGCTTATGACCACTGACTGCACGACGGCTGGGCCCATGGCAAAGCTGGTGACTAAGCTGGTGCTGCTCTTGGCAACTTCCCTGGCAGAGGTACACCGTTGCACTAACTGTGGTTTCCAATTCCAGCAGACTTCTTGTGTTGCGGCAACAAGAATCGGAACTGTCCAGGATCAACGTGCCCCATAATCCTTACTGCCAGTGAATTATCATGTTCGCCGGATTCCAAAAGCCAGCCCACCGTCGGTGCCTTTTCATCCGCAGCTTTGCAGAGCGAGCTCTACTGGCGGCTCTTCTGCCTCGGGGCGCTCGATCTCTCGAGCCAACTGTCCTACTGTCCGCAAGGGGTCGCAGGGCTCGGGCTCCAGAGCTCTGAGGCTGCCGCTGCTTGAAGGGCTGGCGCTGCCATTCTTCGCCATGACCGACACCTACAGCGCATATATGATCGGTGGTTGCCGCCTTCCCCCCACCCCAATGGTTCCCCCCGCTGTGGTATGGCGTGGTTGTGGGTTGCTTCCCCGGCGGGGTCGGTGAACCGAGAACCGGGATCCTCTATGCCGCAAGGCCAATGAGAGACGTGGAGAGATGTCTTGGCTCTACACCGTGCCTACTTTCTCTGCCGCCCCACTTTTCGCGAATTGCGCAGGCAGTTCCAGACCCTCGTTTGCACCATCGCAAACCTCGCCACAAACACCGTCACACCGTATAATTTTGCCTGAACCTTGCTTCGCAGTAGACCTTGGCAAGAGAATTTCCCGATACCGGACCACCGGCCGCTCGCTGAGTCTGAAAAGGTGCGGAGCGCTCCGATGCAATTATAGCCAACACCTACAAGGAACAAACCACGCCTGCAAATCGATGCTGCCAATCCTGTCCTTGGACAGCAGTCCGTGCATGCTTCTCTTCTCACAGATTGGCAAGATGCTCAGGACCCTGCACTCTGGTTGTCCAGGATTTTCTTCAGCTCAACGATCTGGTTGTTGTAGGCTTCCTGCATACAACCTCTGACTCACCGAAGCCACCGGGATGACATGGACCCGTTAAAAGTCCTTCTGCACCAGCAGCTTCATCGTATCCTGCACGGGAAGAAGGCTGGAACCAAAGGCATGAAGGGTGAGTCTGCGTGATTCTGTGGTGACTCTTGTCGGACATGGATACCTAACTTCAAGGATCCTTGTCTTTCAGAGACTTGAAGTCTGGCAAGCACCCTTGTGACCCCAGCCACAAACACCCAGATAATCAAGCAATGACGACTCTTGTGGGAAATCGCCTACTAGAAAACATGAAAGGTTTGGGTAGGGCTTCCAAAGCTGGCAGACAGCAGAAACTCAGTGCCTGGATGTTAAACTGACTCGTTGCAGCATACGAGCTTGCCTATAAACTGGAAGCAAACCGACTGTCCGTGAGAGTCTTGGCATCGGCAAGAGTAGCTCGGTCTGCGATGTCCTGCTAAATGGAAAATCTGCACTCCCATCATCACAAGCTTCACACAACCGTCTGACTTGCGCTTCGCATTGCTGTTCTCGCTGCACTCCAAGACAGCCTTACCATGTTCGTCCAGCCGGACATGAAGATGATCCACCTCGACGGTTGAGTGAGGCATCTGCGAAGATCACTCACTAGCAGAGCAAACTAGACGCGATCACCAGCTATGTCCGGCTTGGGAGTCAGTTGTTTCACTCGTGACAGCGCGAAACACTGTCTATTTCTATTCAAGGGAGGACTCGAGAGACAGAATGCATGTTCACTTCGTGTGATGGGAGACTCGAGTCGTATCTCTGAGTCGGAGGCTGTTTCATAACTTCCAACATATTGCAGCACGCAGAGGCACATGGGCCCTGTACGATGGATGGCAATGCTTACCTTCGGAACCGTGTGGCATGTTATGTGTGTGTGTAGCATGTCAGTGCGATTACTACCAGTTACTACGAGTACGAGTACAACATCGCCCAGCCCCTCGCTGGCCTGCCCCTGAACACCACGGATCTTGTCCATGGCCTTCACGTGAGTTGAGTTGTGCGCTTGGGTGCCATTTGAAGCTTTGGCTTTGAGAACGAAGGTTCCTCCACGCAAGAGCATTTCAAGAGATTTCAGGAGCACATCGCCGAGACCCACCACAGCCTTGTCATTGTCCCCGGCGGCTTTTTGCCCCGCCTCGAGGATCAGCTTATAGACCTCAGTGATGTATATTTTGTGTTGCCCACTTTAGTTTAGTGTGAAGAGCGGGTGCCAGACGTGCGAAAGTAGTAGTGAAATCTGAATGAAACTTCTGCTTCTTTTGCATTCGTCGCGCACCTTCTGGAAAGAAGTGATGTTCTCAACCGCCTCGCCCTTCCTCATATCTGCCTCCTCGGCACCGCGGAAACCAGAAGAACCGCCGAGATGATTTATGGAGGTTTAAACCACTTCGGATCGCAGCCTCTCGAAGGTCCTTGGCGACCTTCTGGCCCTAACAACAAAGCAAAACGACAACGGCGCTGAGACTCACAACACGCTTGAAGAACTTTGTCGAAGCATCCAGCCTTCAGCTTGGCCTCGATGATCTCTTTCTCCTTCTCCCGTATCTTCTTTTGGAAACTGGGCCAATATGAGCATGGGCAATCAATAGGCTCGAACAATGAATGGAAGAAGATGCGAGGCTGAGAGCTCAGCTCGTCCCGCTGCCTCGAAATGTCCCGCTGCAGCCTGTCAACCTGATAGCGACTTTCGCGCTCCGATGTGCAACAGCCGAATTGCGAAAAAATCCACCTGCACCGTTCTGCTGCAGCGCACCTTTTCTAGTTTTCGATAGCCAAACCCCTCACTGTGAGGTTGCGTCTGAGTAGCGACGGCCCAATGTGAGACTAAAGCACCGTCTACTTGGGCGAGCGAGTGGGCTAGCAAGTAGATCACAGAATTTGGTGCTATCGGGAAGTGTAGTAATAAGGGAGTTGTAAATGTGCCTTGTATACATTTTGGTTGTGTAATTCAATTGATATTTCTGAATTGTTATATGAACTGATACAGTTAGTCAATGAAGTGAAGAAAATAACATGTTGTGTGTTTGAATGCTTGAATTATTAAGTGTGCAAGGCTTGACTCAGCATCAGTTGCATACATGACTTAGGCAACATAGGAATCAGTTCTTGCAGGTGTGTTTTAAAAACAAGCGCATGCTCTTCATTGGACTTCCACGAGACGGGTTCAGGCAAATCGGTGCCCCTGGCTCGCTTGTATGAGCTGATAGCAAGGGCATGTTTGGCAGGTTGCAGAGTTAGATGATTTCTCAGTCGAGGACAGTGGAACCGAAATTTCGCGTCCCCGGAAGTGCAGAGCAGGGCAATTGTGAGAGAATTATTGAAGAAATCAGACGATGCGACGAGGCTGCTTTATGGGAGGACTGCACAGCACTTGGCTCGCCTGGCAGGGCTCATGGCTCGCCGGGCAAGGACTTTGCCGTGCGGCTTTCCTATAACAACTTGTCTCTGTGACCGCTGCATGTGACATGTCGTTGATCGCAGCACGTGCTGGCTCATGGGAGTCTGCACGTTTAGGCAGGCAAGCAAAGGGCCAAGCAGGTCTCCAGACAGCACAGAGCACCCACAGCACAGCACCGACAGCACACCGCACCGACAGCTTTAACCAGGCAGGCAGGCAGAGGGCCAGGCAGGTCTACACACACACACACACATATGCAGAGACAGATACACAGAGACACACACAGACACATTGTGCAGCAGCCACTGCACGTGAGCTTAAACGAAACCTGTAAAGCGAAGTATCTCCTAGACAGCTGGCCAGCTCTTATGGTTCCCATGCCCTGCAGGCGAGCTTCAAGCCCTGCCAGCAAGCAATAGGACACGACAAAGGAGACCGAACCAGAGATATAGAGCTGTCGCAAACAACAGGGACATGTAGCAGTCAAGACCTTGGAAGCAAACTCTGAAGCTGCTCACTAGCCAGCCGACTTCACTCGACCGGTGTCTGAACCGAGCGTTGTCGCTCAGCTCTTTCTTGCCCCGGATGCTTGGGTGGGGTCGTTCACATTTCACAGGTTTATGGAGTGGAGAATACATATGTCCCCAACACTCACAGTGCCGAATCATGCCACTGGTCCTCTTCAAATCTCAGTTCGCGATTTACAAATCTGCTGCTGTAGTGCTTTTGAAAATCCGAATTGACGTGCTTAACAAGCCCACGAAGTACACATACATAATACATAACTTCAACAAGTGAAAACACAAATCACACCAGTCACTCAATAACTTACTCATTTACCTAGTGACCACAACGCCCGCCCAAGTAGCGGATGGATTTCCGACACTGAGGCCTCACTTGCCAGACGTTCCCATGTAGCCTCGCCTCCGAGCCCTGAGAATATCTCTCAGGATGACTTTGGACTCAGAAGCTGAAGCTTTACAAGTGAAACACCCGGGTCCCAATGGATCCGGGTTGATTCCAGCTAACTACGCTGTCACAGACACTCTGTCACAGACCCTATGCTACGCATTCAGATGGACTCAGTGGTCGTGTCACAAGTGGACTTAGCTCACAGAGACCCTGAACCGACAGACCCTTGCTAGAGAAGCCGCAGACCAGAATGCCCTGCCCGACTTCTCTTCTCCCGTCAACCACCAGTCAGGTAGAGCGTGCGAGGATCATGCCGTCTACCCTGGGTGCTCTGGCTTTGCACCCTACATAGGCCTGAAACAATCCCAAAGCTCATCGAAACACGACCCACCAAAAACAAAAGCACCAAGGTAAGGCGAGCGGCAGTTGTTGAAACAGATGATTTCAACTCATTCATCTCGGCTGCCTCTCGGGAAAGTGGACAGTTCGTTGCCCTCCAACGTGGCTTTGCCGGGGTCTGAGCTCTTGGTTTCAAAGCTGAACATGGAAGAAGTAGCTGAGGCGGGACGGGCCCTCAAACACTGCAACAAAGCGTTTGCCACAGCTACCGTACAGCCACACAGAAGAGCCACTCATCAGGCTCAACCAAGTCCAGCTTACAAGGCAAGCATGTCTTGTGAGGGCCTTGACACTCAAAGCAATTAGCTCCAGCTCCAGTTCATCTTTCACCTCATCGCAGAGCTCGGAACGTGCATGGGCTGATGAGTTGGGTCTCTGCCGGGTTATCCGGTTGATGCTGTGCCACTGTGCGCCGAGCCTGCAAGTAGTGCCGGATGACGGCCGCCCTGCCTGCAACGCTCCACAGAACAAAGGCCCCTTTGCAAGGTTTCAAAAGCCTTTGGAAAGCGCGGCGCTCAACGGCGCTCCTCCATTGCTGATTCGGCTCGCAAGGGACCGTATCTGTACCCGCAGTAATCTCTGCTGGGAGGCTCCACTGCCCCGGGAGTCCTCAGCGACACAAAGCTCGACTGTCAGCCCCATCAGCCCCTTGAGGAGTCTATGAGAGGATGACGGCCTACCGAACAGAGTCGAAATCTTTCGCCAATCTGCAGCTACAATCGAAACAGCACCTACACACAAGGTGCAAAGAAGCGAGAACAACGGGTCCACACCAGTCACGAAACACGTCCTCATTCCTACTAGGCGGCGGAAAGAAACGAGCATAGCGAAGTTGACATGCACTCGACGGGTTGCCCTTTCTTGCGACGGGCATCTGTAGGCAGAACCTTCATCTCGTACTCGTCTTGGTCGGGATCTGGTGCCAAGGATCTCTCGCCACGCCTCCTCGGCACGACGTCCTGCAGCAGCCGTTCTCAGCACCAGCACACGCCCCCCCAGGGAAGTCGTCCTCCTCATCGCTGCTGTTTGCAGCAGACCTGCCACAAAACAAACACGGAAGCCCCGCAGCGAGTGAACCGCCCAGGCCCAGGCCCAGGCCCAGGCCTGAAGGACTCACCCGAGGAGTCAAAGAGCGGTATTTCGCACAAGGACCAGAAGGAGGGACTCGAGGAAAGCTTCAGCGAGGCCGCGGAGGTCGCGGGCACCCCCATGCGTCGGCATGCGCCTAGAGGACGGGCTTCGGACTGCATCTTTGAAGAGCCGATGGAAAAATCCCTGCGGACGGCGCGCGCATCTCCTTCTCAAGTCCCACAAAGGCCAACTCCCAGCTCAGCAAGCCATCTACATCAACCTGTGAAATGGCATGCTTATGGGCTGGGGATCCTGGATGCTGGCCTCCTCTCGCAATGGCTCCACAAGGCCCGTGTGCACGAGGCCCAGCAAAGCCACCCGCCACCTGAAAAGCAAGGAAATCCATGGCCTCCAGCATAACGAACAAAGCACGGGGGCCCAGCTCATATGCGCTGTGGCATAGGCCATTCGAAGTTCCCTCCGCTGCGTGGAGCACCTCCCGAAAGACGCTTCGAGAAGATCCGAAGGCCCAAAAGGCCTCGACCTCTTGCAGCTGCCTTTGCATGCTGCCGTGCGAGCCTCTCTGCTTCTGACACCTGGATCCGCAGAAGCTCGCACGGAGGCTTCAAGGGTCACGTCGCACTGTCGCCTCCAAGGACCGGGACACAGCCTGAGAACACGCAGATGCTGGCGCTCCAACCCAAAGAAGATGTGATGCACATGAAGGGAGCGTCTGACCGCGGGGCTTCGAATTCGCTATTCCGGGAGCTGTCATGAAAGCAGTGCAGTCATTCGTGATCTACGAGTCTGCTTGCTGGTGGCACCATTCCTCTGTGCATGAACATCGGCCTTCCTTGTAGTTTGCTTTCTTGCTTTGCAGGTTCACAGTATGAAAAAGTCCGACAAACCGACACGCATGGAGTACAAAAAGCTGTGATTCCTGCCGACGCACTTGAAAGTGAGCGCTCGGGTAGAGAAGTAGGCACCTGCCGCAGCTCTTACGCTGCTTGCATTCCTCTATCTTGCTCCAGGAGCTCTAGTATGCTCAAGTAAGTGCCGTCCACTCATGGCGCTACAGAGATTCATAGCAGAATCGTTTGGACAACACCCATGTCCACCTCCAGCGTGGTCGTCTCTGTGGGAACTTGTCCCTCTGCAGGCGGCGCCTCTGCCAAGTCCTCCTCGCCTAAACATAGTCCAGTCGGCTTCGCATCAAAGTACTTTTTATCAGTGCCCCTCACGTTGCCCGAAGTGACTGAGGCGGCGGCAGGCAGAACTGGAGGGCTCTTCGACTACCCTGCGTTCAACATCTCTGAGCCGTTTGTTGGGTGTGCTCGAGATTCTCAAAGTATATGGGCCTAGTCGGCTCGCTGACCCACTGTGCTTCCGTATCGCCATCGCGAAAGAGCAACCTCATGACCAGTCAGACAAGCCACGAAAGATTTTCGCAGATCGAACCGTGGCTCAATGCCATATGCTGCTGGGGCACTGGGAAATGTGCCGGCGAGCCTGCACCATGACAGCAAAGCTGCAATCACAATTCGCAGCTCTGGAGCAGCCGACAAATAGGCATGCTGCTTCTCTGAAACGGCTGTGCCTCGCTGGTGGCAAAGGCTTGCATGCGCGGCTCCAGATCCTGAAGGCAAGGGGTGCTTGATGGTGCTGGCATGCAGCTCCAAGAGTCCATGGTTTTGCACGGCAGGGCGTAGGTGTAACCAGCAAACCCCATGAGCCTCCAAGACACTTGACAGCTGTTGCAACTGGTCTTTGAAGGCTGCCTGGCAGAATCACGCATGATAAACCCCTGCATGCGAACGGTGATACCACAACGTCGACGCGCGCACGCGTTCGAGCGAGAGTGCCAGAACGTTCTCCGCCCCGCATGTCGACCATTTTTCTACTATTCTATCATGAAAAGCAAAGCCGTTGCTAAGTGTCGTGCCCGATTCATGTCTTGAAAGAGGTTATCCTCCCACTGCAGAGAAAGCACGCAGGGGGAGACGATCCACGAGCACAATAAAATAGCGAAAGCCACGACTGCTACCGTAATCGTTGCAGTTGCAATCTGCGTTCGGACTCGAAGCGTCGACTCAACTAGATATTGCCATAAACTAGTGCGCGGGCGACACCAAATTCCAACTTGATGCTAATGAGCAACTTCAAGGGCAGAGCATCAGGAACAAAAAACACAGCGAGAAAGGAAGAAATGGCTTTATATGTCCTTATTTTGCCGGCTTCGGGTCAGCAGTGCCGAACGTTGCTTTGCAGTCTGTGGCTTGAACTTTTGTGGCCCTTTTCCTCTGTGCCATTGATTGTGCCTTCAAATTGCCCCTCAATTCTGAGTATCCACTCCTTCACCCGCAAAATGATAATGACGTTCTGCGCCTAATAATGATTTCGAAACCCTGTGGCGGATGGGATACCATCACAACACGTACCTATGATGTCTGGCGTCGTCACACCTTGCAAACTCCGATCTCCAAAGCTAAGGCCCCTTTTCCTTCAGCAACAACTGCATCTAATTTCTACTGAGCAGAAGGACAAGTTTCTCAGATATGGTATCTTAAGTCGTCCGCTTGGAGGCTTTCGGATATGAAAAGTCACCTCTTCCAAGCCATTGCCATGAACACGTGCACGCGAAAATGCATGTTGAGATTCGACACGTCATGTGGCCTGGACTGTACACGTATATGGCCTGAACGCGTGAGCCCCCAAGGAAGACTGATCAACAAATCACAAGCGGACATACAAGGCTGCCCAATGCGCAGTAGTCTAGTCGCACGTTGCCTCGGCGAAGCCGCGGTCCGAGCGCTCCTCCTCCAAAGTGGCCTCCAATTGCCTGTACTTGTCCTGACATCGCCAGAACTCTTTCTTTCAATCAGACCTTCAGGGTCGCTAGGGTGGCTACTTCTGGCCCAAAACCTACTTGCATCAGCGCCCCGCCATGCCACGCCCCGATCCCAGTCCAGCCAGTCCTCCAGCTCGCCAAACCGACTCCACTTGGCTTCGTCAGCTTGGCGGGCACCTTTCCAATAAAAACACTCGTTCCAGAACAGAAGCTATCTATGCCAAGAGGTGTCGGACAGCCTTCCATGGCTTGCTTCAACGCGTTCGTGTTCGCATCCTCCTGGATGAGGCAGGTGCTCATGGCATCTCATGGCACAGTAGCCTCTAGTAGTGAGCTTACCCGAAGCAAAACCGTTCATTGTCATAAATGGCTTGGCACCTTCCTTAGGTTGGCATAGGCTGAAAAACGGCCATCTTACTCTGAGGCGAGCAGAAGCAAGCCAAGGTCCTGAGCCTTTAATTCTTCTCGGATCTGGAGCAGGAGTGGATCTTCCTGCAAGCTGGGGAAGACCGAAAATAGTATGCGAGATTATGCGGCAACCTCGACAAGCCTTGACAACCCGACCCCCCTCCTGGGGCTCTTCTGGCTCTTCGGCGTCGGCCTGCCTCAAGCCGGGAGCAGCCCAAGGTGCTCTGAAATCTTGCAACGGCCCCTTCATTGGCATGCTGCCAAGGATCTCGGCACCGCCATCTTCCTGCCCGTCATCATTGCTCTCTTGGCCTCGCTTGTGCACATGCGGGCTGTGAATCACCATTTAAGAGACAAGGCAACAATCCAACATACAAGCGCCGAGTTAGAGAGGTCTCGAGGATGCGACTCTGCAGAAATTCGATGAACTCCTGGTATGCAGCCCCGGCTGCGCACCCTGGAACGCCGCGCACCGTTTGTCCTTGCGCGTGAGGAAGGTGTCATCTCCCTCGCCACCTGACACGAACAGAGAGAACAGTGTTGGCAACGGTTTCGAAGCGCCTGCTAACTGCCCTGACAGCGATGGCGTCACAAAGCTGATTTCATCCTTCTGGTGCTGTTTGTTGAGGAAGCCTCGGAGGTGCTGTATGTACGACTCCAGGGTGGCCACTCGCCTGTCGCAGGGCTACAAGCTGGCATGGAGATTGTACCGGCAGATTTCTGAACTCGCATGGACGTGACTTCCTGGTAGCAGCTGTACCATGTCAGCAGATAGGCCTCGAAATTCGCTGCCAGGCCGAGTCTATCTTCTTCGTACTGATCAACGACTTCCTGGCAGCTCTCATCAAGATTGAGTAATGAGTGAAGCGGTGAAGCATGGTGAAGCTGTCTCGGGAAACCGAAGCGCCCCAAAGTAACTGGAGGCAAGCAACACGATGTCATCGATGTTCTCCCCATCGAAGAAGTCGGCCCCGGCACCTCCGTACGACAATCGCAGGAATCTTCCTTTGAGAGTGTTGGCGGCTGTTAGCACTACAGTCGGACGTCACTTCAAGGCTTTGCTGAAGTACTCAAGATATATTGGAGACAACAGCTCGCAAAATCCCGACGAGGAATTGCACTGCCCAGCCTGACACGCGCCGCCCAGTCCTTGACAAGCACGAAGCGACACAGACATCTCAGACCGAAACAAGCCAAGACAAGAGGTTCGCCAAACTCACAGGAGTGTACAATAGTCTGCAACACCAATCACTGCAGATTCCTCTGCGACGTGCGTGGGCGAAGCATAGACGACACACGACCTCCAGGCCTCAAGTAACTCCTCTCTTGGAGGCCCCGACCGAGGAGTCTCGATCTTGACGGGTGCCGCTCCCATGTTCTTGCGCAGGCTCAGCCCGGCCAGGCCAGCGCCCTTCACTGAACAGCCGAGATCAGTCGACTGCGCTACGGTATCTTCTCGCCATGACCTGGCTCAGACCTGAGTGACATGTCAAAAGAGCCGTGGCCTTGCTCGGCGATGGATTGGTCTTGGATATGGCACCTGGCGCTGGCTGGACGCAAGCTCATTCTTAAACGCGGAGGCTCATCAGATGCGAAGTGCGTGCTGAGAGAATTCTCGCTGCTCGTAGTCTGAGAGATCCGAGCACCGCACGGTTCTTGAAGTTGAAGGCGCCGTTTGTGTCCACCTCATGCACCTCTCCGCCTGCACAGGGAAAACCGGAGTCTGTCTCGGGATGTGAGATCCTCTCGGTTACTCCTCAGAGCTTGCATCCGCAAGCAGAACTCAAGCAGATTCCCAAGGCCTGGTGTGGAGCGACCTCCATGGCTGTCGGTGCTGGTTTGCCTGTAGGCCATGGCCTCATCGCTCCAAAGGCGTCGACCGCTAGCTTCGACTGACTCTCGCACTTTGGCGCTAGCTGAGGTCCCGGCCGGCTCACCCAAGATCCCAACCGCCCCCCCGCGCCTCCATGCTTGGCCCCCTTGTTTTTGGGCCGACGGACGAGCCGCTGTTTTTCGAGGGCTTGGAATCTCGCAGCCCGACTGGCAAAATCAACACATAACTCTGGACAACTCTCTCCGAGCTGCGCCTGCGAGCACAGAGACCACGTAAGCCGCCTGCAGCAGAATCGGAAAAAACAAGCGGCGAGAATCGCAGCGACCTCTTTGTGCTGCTTGTACTGTCGCTCGCGGGGAATCAGCGTACGAGTAGTGACCCTCTGCTTCCGTGCCTTCGTGGCGGTGGACATCTTTCGGCCGATATTGCCCAAGGCGCCGGGCATGTCATCTGGTGTCATCTGCGCAAATGGAAGCGACAGACCAAAGCCAGCGGATCAGCCCCTCGGATGCAAATCAGACTATCTCCTATCAAAGCTTAGCTGGCCAGAGAGCTGTGCACCACGGTGAGCCTGCTCAAGCAGACGAGCTTGCTCCTTGCCGGACCACAATCCGCAACCGGGGAAGCAGAGAGGCTTTGAAGAGAGATTTGAAGAGAGATTTCGGGACGTCTGAAGTCGCCTCCTGGACCACAGCCTCGTAGAGCTCCATTTGCGCCCGGCTGGGTCGCCGTGCGGAGAGCACGTCCCTGCCAACTCCAGCTCACAAGAGAGAGCACAGCTCCCAATCTTCAAACTTCCCAAGATGAACGACTGGGGAGTTGCACTTCAGCCTGCCTGAAGACTGTCGAGCCCTTCTCTTCGTCGAGCTGCTCTGCTCCCTGCAGGACCTGCAACTCCCGGAAGTTCAGGGGTTAATCGATCCCTCGCCCGGCCTCGGCGATAGTCTGGTTGTCTACGTGCTCGTAGCATGCGAAAACCTGAGGGAGGGGGCCATTTCCCGAGGCGAATCCAAAACGTCACTGTCCCTGCAGCCGACATGTCATGCATCCGCGCATCCGACCGCAGGAGCATGCTCAGTTCACAACTCTAGTTCCCTGTGTTGCCTGTTAATTCTCCAGCCGTCCCCAAATCGTCACAAATGAGCTTGTTCTCGAGGCTCGTGCTGTCAATGAGAACAGCTGATTGACAGCCTCTTCCTCCGTGAACTCCTTCATCCTCCAAGCTAAGGGCCCAGCACAAAAACTTTGGCATGCTCACATAAATCGCAGAGAGAGCACGAAAGAAAGAAAGAGAGAGAGAGAGAGATCACAAGCTTGTGAGCACAGTAATGCAGATTCATCAAGGGGGACGAATGAGCGAACACGGAGGATTCTGGGGTCAAAACCCTGGAGTGCTCTGTGCCATGAGCGAAGAGACAGCCGTCTCCACCTGCAACAGCTGGCACTTACTCTTCCACGGCTGTTCTGCGATCTCTTTAAGGTGCCAGGACCCAGTTATTTGGAGATTGTTTGGGGTCAGAAGTAGAAAGTGCTTGAACAGGAGACCAGCACCTCATCTGACCGCGTCTCCAGTCGACGTCGAGTTGCACGAATGCACCTTCTAGCAAGATGTCCACAAGAGCGCGCGAGAACACAGAAGCAGCAGGAGGCACAGCGCTTACAGCAACCCCTCCCTGCTACCGCTGCTGCCTCAGGTTTATCACTGCACCGGTCCGGAGCTGCGCAACCCAAATACAGTCATGGGCCCAAACGCACTCATGCGCTTTCGGCGCGACTTCTTCGACAGCGCCTGGTCAACCTGCATTGGCGCTGGCTTGTTTGCAAACCCGTCACCAGTACGATTGCGGTAGGTGGATGTGAACGGATGTTGTTGCTATTTTTTCTGCATTGGGTGTGATGTGGATTTTCCTCGTCTTCCTTCCTTCATCCATCTCTTCCTTTTTAGGTTGCCAGAATGTGCAGGTCGTAGTCAGCACGTCGAGTAGACGACATGTGGTGTTCCTTGCCTTGAACCCAGCTACATTCTACACTCCCCGAAGCAATCAAACTGCAGTAGCGTTTTTCCCCAGAAACTTTATATAGCTGTGAGATACCAGCTGCCTTAGAGTCTTAGAGTGAGACTTCCGATGCTTGACAATCTGATCTGTCCACGCCACATGTGACCGCAAACGCATGGCTTCATCGTGCAACAGACGGGCATGTTGACAGCTGCTCGAGTGCTCCGGCCTTGGAGATATCGCCCTGCGCCGCCATCTGCCAAGCCAGTGCAGAATAGAACCACGAGACTTTCAGAGCAAATCTGCAGTATGGGCAACGATGAGGTGTAAGGAGAGTTTCACTATGCAAGCACACGAGGAGGCTCAGCTACAGCACTGAGAGCTCCTTGCTCCCCCATGTGCCATCAATGCACCCATGGACATAAACAGGCAGCCCGCACAGAATGGGCAGAGCTGCAAAAAAGTGCCGAAGGCACGGCACTGTATGCCACATGCCGACGGTGAGCCACGATCCCTTTGGGGCGCAGCTTGCACGATCTCATGAATTCGGAGGCGCTGCCGGGCTCTCTTAGTTCTTCTCCGAGCTGGATGCGTCTGTGTGGATCTCTGTCGAATCTTGTCTTTGCCTCTTGTCGAGGCTTTGGCGGGCGAAGTTGGAGCTCTTCTTTGCCTCGTCCGAGAGCACCGGCCGAAGCTTCAGCACGGACTCCGCACGGACACAGGGGCGCTTGGTCGTATTTCTCCACGGTTGATCCAACTGCTTCTTCAGTCTCCGACACCTCGGTGCTCCTCCCTCAAAGCCTGCAGTGCGCTCGGCTCACGTGACACCGATGCAGGCACAGTTGCGTGCAAGCTGGTTCCAGGGCCTGCATCCGGAAGTGCGGCCCCTCTGGGAAGGTCATGTGCCTGGTCTTCTGTGGTCTTGGGCTTGCGGCGCTGGTGCCGTAGGTCCCGCAGAGATGCTGGAGCACCGCTGTTCAAGCTGCAAGCGCTCCCACCACTTCCTGGCCGCCCTGCACTCAAAGCGCTGATGCCACTCACCTGGGATTGCCCAGAGGTTGGTCGGAGATGATCCTGATTGATCAAGGAACCGGCGGCTGCCCTCAAGGTCGGTGATCCAAACTTTGCCCTTTCTTTCGCGGTAGCCATTCCTCCCGGTGGCTGCCGTCCACGTGCGCTATCCTTTCCTTCGGATGGCTTAGCTTGCATCCTGTCCGTCCGGTCCATCCCGTCGTGGTTAGTCTGTGCTCGAAGCTTGGACAGGAACGCATCAAAATCCTCAGGTGTTGCGGCAGCAAAGGCTGCAAAATCGTCCTTGACAATCGGCCGCTGGGTGCCAAGACCATCTAAAGAAATCGTACCCAGAGTGCTGGCAGCCGCGCCCAAACCACCAAGTCCCTGCAGAAAGTCGAGGCTATCTGGTTGAACTGAGTTCAAGAGCTCCGGCTGAGTGTATTCCATCCCCGGGTATCCCGCTTCCTGCCGGGCCTTCCCGGCATCCTCGGACTTCTGCCGGGCTCTGCGCGGGGGCCGACCCGTGGGCTTGGATGTTACCGAGCTCTGGAGGTCCTCCGCCCCAAACTGTCGCAGAACGCCCTCCCAAGACTCGGATGGAGCTTCGTCTTCACGGGCGCTGTAGGGCATTTTTTCGGAGGGGCTTGCAAAGCTGGAGGTGGTAACACAGGCAACCTCTGCACGTGCCTCTCTGATTGCATTCACTGCGCCCTGCAACAGACTCAAAGGATCGGCTGGATCTTCGCGGTCGCTGAGTTTGCTCTCTTTAGGAAGGGAATACTCTGCAAAGCCTTCGGATCCAGCCAATGCGCTACTGCCTTCCGAGGTTTCTAGACCTTCCTCGGTCTCTGGGCTCTGCACGGGCATTGTCAATGGCGGCGACTGTACGACTGCGAGGTTGTTGGTGAGTGAAGTGCTGGCCTTCAGCTTCTCTTCTCGTTCCGCTCGCTCGGCGCCGATCCAAGTTGCACCCATAGTTGCCCCCTGAAAGTCAGCTTGTACAAACTTTGACTCGCCCACAAGCGTTCCTTCCAGCTGCGAAGTCTCTGCTCCCAATTTGCCGCTGAGGGCCGTGTTTCCAAGCCTTTCGTCCAGCTGAGCTGTATTTTCCAGAGGCTTGCCCCAGCTGTCTTCAAACAAGGAGGCTTCGCCTAAAGCTTCGCCCGCAGCCGGCTCGTCATTCTCCAGAGCGGCTGGAGCCACGTCCGCTTCGGCTTCGGCTTCGGCGGCCTGCAGCCACGGAACGGGCGCGACCGGCCAAGCGTGCGGATCCGACGGAGCCGGCGGGACCGCGGCCGAGACCCTCCTGGCCTCCTCCCTGAGCTTCTTCAGCTCTTCGTCCGTGGGATAGCCGGGTTCTTCCCACGTCGATGTCTCTGCAGCTGTAGGGCCGACGTCAGACTCGTATTTGGAATAGAAACCACCCCAAGGCTCGCCAGCAGGGCCACTCATGCCCGACATACCCTCCACAGGCGTCGAGGCAACAGAAGGAAGCATGTGGAGCGAAGCCTGTCCCGGTGCAGCCGGACCAGTGCTTTGTAAGAGCATCTGCCTTTGCAGTTTGCGCTGCAGCTTCTTCACATCCTTCTCCTTCTCCTCAAGCTGCCTTGCCTTCATGTCGAGAAGGTCCTGCCTCGCACATTCCTTTTCCTGGCGCAGCCGGTCAGCCTCCTCTTGAAGCCGAGCAAGTGCGTCCTGCTGGTGGCGGTAGAGTTCCTGTTGCTGGTGCATCAAACCCTGCAGCATGTCGCTCACTGGCGGGGAGGACGCTGGACCTGGAGCTGCGGACTGAAAGCCAGCCTGGGGAAGTGTCCCTACGGGCCCCACCGGCCCGGGCGGCATCTCCCAGGGAAGAGGCGAGGAGCTGGGAGATGCATGGAAAGGCTGCGCGTGCGAAGGCTGCTGTCCCGGCGGCACACCGAAGAGATCCGAGCGAGTTTGGCTTTGACGCGCGAAGCCGTCTCTGTCCTCGGTGCCTCGCATGGATTTCCGGCCCGGAGCCCTACGTGGTGGCAGGGGCCCCGGGGCCTCGTCTTCCTGCTTGGCCACGGCCGCGCGCTCGTTTTCTTCCAAAAGGGCGCGCTTCTTGGCTTCGTCCTCCTGCCGGCGAGCCTCCAATCTGGCCTCCTCTGCAGCCTGCTCTCGGCGGATCCGTTCGTTGTCCCGTTCCTCCTCCTGTCTTCTGCGCTCCTCCTCCTCCTTCTTCTTGCGCTCCTTCTCCGCCACCTGTTCCGCGAGCATGCGCTTCATCTCCTGCGAAGATGAGTTACGGCATCGAGATGCGTCCAACAAATGCTCTGCGCCCCGCTGTCCTCTTGCTTCTTTCGGCGATCGTCCTGGCCAGCCTGGGGGTCACCCTCCCCCAGCCGGCCGAGCGGGCCAAGCGGGCCATGGCCTGCCAGGACGGGAAGTCCGGAGTCTTTACGAGAATTCTCATGCTAATCCTGGAAAACCCTTCAAATTGCAGCTCTGATGGCGTAAACTGATAGCCACGCACACCGTACTTCTCAAGCTAGGCCCACAGGAACACATCAAAAGACGGCAGCAAGTCAACTGCGCTGCCTGCAGCTTGGCTTGGGGTGCCAGGCCCAGCTGGTGGAGCGCCAAAGCCAGGGCACGGATGGCCCGGGTGGGACCCGGGTGCCAGGCTCGGCTGGTAGGAAACCACCTGACCTCCCGCGCCCATGGGCATTCCGGGACCAAGGCCCGGCATGGGCTGCACGTACTGCATGGAAGGCATGCCCGGCTGCATGCCTGGCTGCATGTTCGGCTGCATGCCCAGCTGCATGGGCATCTGAGGCATTCCAAGCTGGTGGTACTCCAAGTACCCGTTGTAACCATCTTGCATGGACTGTGGCATTCCTGGTGCAACTTGGCCAGGTGCTGCTGCCTGGCCGGCAGCGTCGGAGGTCCGTCGCCGTGCCTGCGCTTCACGCTTTTGCCGCTCCTTCTCTGCAATCTGTTCTTCCAAAGCACGCTTCATCTCCTGATGCCTTGGCTCTCAAAAAATATGAGCTGACAACGGTACACAAAGCGACATGCAGCTGAGCATGATGTAAACCTGTTCGTGAACGACTCAAGCCAGGCCACTTCTTCCTTCTTTCCATCTGCACAGCATCTCCAGCCGCGCCCAGTCCGTCTACGCCGGCGGGCGGTGGTTGACTCACACCTTGCTGCATCGGCGAGAAGCCGGGCTGCACGGCGTTGCCCTGCAGTGGTATACCCTGCATGCCTTGCATGCCTGGCATGGCATGCTGCATGGGCTGCATGGGTTGCATCGGCTGCAGAGGCTGCATCTGCATCGCAATTGGATGACCGTTTTGGGCCATGCTGTGGTCGTCCGGCATGTTGCCTGGGCCTGGGACCTTTCCCACATAAGCCAAGCGCTCTTTCTCGGCCACCTGCTCTGCCAAGGCACGCCTCATCTCCTCTTGCTTCCGCCGACGGTCCAGCTCAGCTGCTTCTGAGGCAGCTCCAAAGCCTCCGAGGCCTGAAGGGCTGCAAGGGCCTCCCGCTGCCAAAACAGGTGAGGCAGGAGCCTGGGCGGCATAATGTGCTTGCGGTGGTGGCTGTGCATAATGTGCTTGCTGTGCTTGCTGTGCTTGGTGGATTGGAGATCCAGCCAAGCCTAAGCCTTGACCGTGTGGTGTCATACGGTCCCTCTGCGCCATCTGCTCCTCAAGGGCACGCTTCACCTCCTCCTGCCTACGGCGCCGCTCCAACTGCGCGGCATCCCCTGCAGCACCCAAACCCTCGAGGCCAGCAAAGACCGGAGGTGCGGGCGCTGCGGCTGCAGCTATTGGAGGTTCCTGGACAGCTGGTTGAGCCTCGGCCAAGAGGGGTCCTGGCGAGGCCAGGGCCGCTGGCAACACCGTCGCCGCGAAGGGCGGCTGTGGCTGCGGCTCCGGCAACTGGGAGCCTTGCTGCCTTGGCGACGGCTGCCCCAAGGGGAGCGGTGCCTCCCTGCCGAGCTGTCCAGCAGGAGGCCTGTCACAGGAAACTGTAGCTTGCACTATGTTCCCGAAAGACTGCAGCTCGATGGCACCTCGAGGGAAGCCCAAACAGTCGGGCTTCGGCTGGGCCACCTGCAGCGCAGTTTGGCCATCTTGAGGTGGGTTCACCAAACGCATGCAAGTTGTCTACACAGCAAGTGCAACATAGTGCAACAGTGAGTGCCTCCCGCCCCAGCGCTCGGACCAAAGAGGCTCTTCTTGGCCCCTTTCGCATCTCAGTTCGAGGCGGCAGCGGAAGAATCGAAAGAGGGCCATGATAGATGTCGCACAAATCCTGTCCAGTGACCTTGCCCAATGCACTTGCACGACCTTCAATAAATTGAGGTGAGGGCCATCGAAGGCAGCTGGCTTGGGAATCTTGCTATTCTCTTCCTCCCATGCACCGAAAGCCTATACGCTCAACGTTTCGTGTCACGAAAAGGCTACAAGAAGCGATCGAAGTTCTTCTCTCTCGCTCCTGCGCCGCAACTTTCTCCTTGGCTGCTTGAGCAGCTTGAGCCTCCGCCTGCCGGGGCTCCCAAGAGAAATGCTCGGGACCCCGCTCCCCTCCCTGGTTGCGCTGTCCCGATCAGGATGAGTGCCTGCAGCATCTGTTTGAGCTCCGGGTTCTTTGCCTGGGCTCGCTCCAGCTCCACCTGACATAGCAGATCATTCGATTGTGGCCCGGGCAGGCTTGGTTGGATTGACCGGATCAGGCTCCTTAGCACAGATCACAGGTACACCTCGGTCAAGATGTTCGCCCAGACGCTCACCAGTGTTCCATGTTGGGCTAGATGAGATGAGATGAGATGAGATG